GGCCTTTTAGCAAGTACCTTAGCTGTAAGTATGGTAAGTTAAAATGTCAATTAAAAGTGTTGTAAAGCGAAAGCATTGTGCCTGAATGAACTCGCCATTTACTTGGCCTGTAAAGAGAAAATGAATCGCCTCCTAGTTCATTTTTCTCTGTTATCAATGCATGCTCGTATGGAAGACTGCTATTAAAAGATAACTAGCCTACCCCTGAGAATAAAAATCCTTGAATAATGGGATTCCAGGGAAGAAGAGGCATGTTGAGATTGTATGTAGGGGGCTCCTGGTTGCCTTTGAGCTCCATCGATGCATTCTGGTTGTCTGATCCCGCCTTCTCATTGGCCACTTCGGAGGTTGTGCTTACAGCAGTCTCCTTCTCGGTATTTGAGGTTGACAGCGAGGGGAGGACGGGAGTAGCCACGGAGTCTTCTCCACCAAAGGTATACTTGAAGATTACCTGTTTGCGCCATCTAGCACGCCGATTGCTAAACCATACCTGCAACCAAAATGACCGGTTTTAATCTCCACTGGAAACCATCAGGTAACCTGATTGGTTGTTACTGGCAATAAAGGACAGTAAGTCCGCAGTATTCAATGAATCAGGTGGTTAGAGCGTCGGCTGTATTCGAGTTCTGCCTTGACTGTTATGCATTTAAATGTCCCTGAAGCCACTGAGTTTTTTACACCTAAGTTAATGGACTTTAAAACATCTGCCAAAATATATATTAGTTATGTGAGCTTGATCGTTATTTGGTAGATTCTCCATCGACTGCCTAAGAAATCGGGCGGGGACAGTCAGCTTACTCTATCTGAATTGGTGGATTCCATATGTTTCAGTCGGCTGGGCGGGCATTTTAACTCAAGTGTGCTTAGACGCACGGCTCCCGTTGGGATATCGTAGTTCAGGGGGTTATAAAACTGGCTAACCGAAGCCTTTCCCTTGCTGCCGTGGGTTAAAATCGCACCGAAACCACCAAGGATTTCACAGCTTGGTTAAATGAATTATTCAAATCTAACGAAGATAAGGAAATATCCACCTTCTTGTCAATACAGCAAGGGGAATATCTGCTTGATGAGTTCGTATATAATTCCGGCTAAATCAGGTCTCAGCAAAATAAGGGTCTAAGCAACTCGAAAAATGGTACATCAGGTAGGTATCTTCTCCTAAACGTTGCCATATGCCTCAAAAAGGTTGGTAGGTCCAAATATCATGGCAAGACAAACCAGAATCTCATTGAAACTTTGGCCTTTTTTGAAAACTCATTCAACCAGTTTACTGATATTGCGCCCACAAGCGGAGGCCTGAGCAGTCACCCAAAAATCACCTGGCTACATATCGAAATAACCGTAGCTTGTTCTCTTGTTATTCACATCGCTGAGCATGTACTCCTGTACGAGTCGAAATGCTCGGGAAAATAAACAAATAGTTCCGGAGAGCGATCCACCTTTATTCCCTACTCGGATATATACATATATACATTACTGTTAACGATGGCACTAGCTATATATAAAAGTAAATGCTTTAAAGCGTTCGCCGTTCCTGCACTACCTATTTAAATCATAAAATGAGGCGTGTTACTTATCGGCCTACCTATCTCGGCTCACCTCAGTTTAAGGACTTATTTCAACCTTTAAAAAGCCACTTATTTCAAGGTGCATTGGGTGGTACTTGCTTCATTGGTTATGATCTATGCTGACCTTCCCCCTATCTTTCTCACATACACACACTTCAGTTAAAAACCTTTGCATTCATATTTCGGGGCCTCAGCTGATGTAGCCCCCGGACTAATAATAATTTGATTTTATGTTTACTTAAAAAATTTCAGTAACATTTTCAATGTCCTTTGTATTCACTTCAATTCGGGTACGTTTCGCCAAGTCGATGACATTCTTTACAATAGTCCACGAGAATTACAGTATCTAGCATGGAAACAATTGGGTGTAAAACTGTTCAACAAAAAAATTTGCCGCAAAATATCCTGCGCTTCGCACAGGGATCTCACCTGAATTTTCGGTTCCGATAGGCCGGTAATCTCAGCAAGTTTTTCTCTAACCAGCAGTTCAGGGTAGTGCGTTCTTTGAAACGCGGCCTCCAGGAGGGACACCTGTTAAAATCAGATAAGAAGTTTGGCATTTTTCGACTACGGATTTGAAGCGGGAAATTATACCAGTGCTAACTGATTTGATAAAGGTATAATCACACTTAAGTGGGGCGCAGAATGAGACCTAACTATTTGCTTAATGAAACGCAATCCCCCACCAAAACATAACTACTTTGCAAATCTACTCTGGACTAGCTTCACTATCTTCTAGGGTCTACGTGCTGGCTCACAGTTTTCGAAATCGGCCTTGCACTCCAGAATTTCATTAGTAGGAGCTCTCACACCAAAACCAAAAAACCACAGAACATCTTTTTTAACGTTTGAGGAAATTAATCCACTAACTTGAAGTAGAACCTTCAGCGCAGACGTTTTCATACTCAGCTGTGTCCGGCAGCGACAGGAGCTCGGTGAACCCCGTGTGGCCGGACTTTGAACTAGTAGCTGTGTTGTCAGTATGGTATGGAGAAGGGTGCAAATTTTAGGGAAATTTGAATTTTTCCTCGGTTAGCCACGGCCCTCAATAAATAGGGGACTCAGACTACACTTTAGGCTAGGGATAAGTTATGTAAGCATCTGGGGTTAAAATGCATAGCTAAATACTGGGTGAGGTTTAGGAAGCCTCGGTTAGTTAATTATTTCTTAGCCATGGAAAGTAACTCTCCATGTGTTACCTACTAAATTCATATAGCCGCAGGCACAGAGGTGTTTTATTATGGTTGTTGCTATTTAATTTTTTTACTCATTGAGAGTTGGTCTTGCTTTGATTTTTAATATCATGTTCAATTTCGTTGCTATATAAATAGGCCTAGGAGCATACATTTGGCAGAAGTTTTTTTAGATGTTTTCTTGCACACATTTCGCTAGTTGTCCGCGATAAGGCCCCACTCTTTACCACCATTCCCGTTTTACATGATCCGTGGTTAGTAGTAGCCAAGGGAGCTTACATAACCTACCATACGCTTGCCAAATACTCTTCTGAATTCTCTGAAGGGAATATTTGCAACTTTAACCTACCGTTGTCCACTTAAAAAACTTACATCCGAATTTGTCCTGACTCTTTGTAGGCAGAATGTCATGGTGCCGCAGTTAAGACAGCTACTC